CCAAAGGACTGCTCTGACCCCTGTTCAGAAGACAGACTGCCACCATATCATGAGACCAGATCTCAGAAACAAATAAAAGATGCTACTCTGCCACTAGTTTACAAAAGACCCCCATGTTAGTGACTGATTAATTGCTTGACTCTTTTTGATGTCCCTTAGCAATTCTAATTACCATACGCAGAAACAAGAAGGTGTGCCTGAAGCCTGGGAAGGCTTCAGGAAATTTTGTCCATATGAGGTAATCATTCCCGCATCTCTCAAAAAGGCAAGTTCTTCAGAACAAGTAATTAATATTTTTGTTAATGTACATGTCATAAAAGAAGATCGTATCAGCTTGAATCTATATTTCAGAGGAAATTATATGAAATCTGAAATGGAAGCGAATCAAGAGACTGTCAGCTGTAAGCAGTATTTTTAGACAATGTTTGGTGTACTTAATACTAAGATGAAGAAAGAAGCAGAAGAGTTTGTGGTCAAGATGCCAAAGTATAAACAAGGAGAACGTACGGATTGACATTATCATTTGAAGCTGAAAAAAGAAAGAGTCTAACAAAAACTATTCTTAGCAATCTGCAGGTATTCTGACTAAAATGAAGTTGACTTTTTTGCTGAAATTAATATCTGGAAAAGTGATATATTGCTGATTCAGCTGAAAGGCAGTAGATATGAATAAAATCTGAATGGTAAAGACCAACTTCAAAAAAAAGTTAGCCCATAAAAGACAGATATCAGACTTCACTGTGCTGCAAGACCTATTACTACCTGCAACAATAAAAAGTTTAATTGTTAGAAGCAAAGCCAGATCAATAAAGTGACCAAGAATCTGATGAAATACATCATGTGATAGAAAAGAAAGTCAAAGTTAACAGTACCAAGAAATCACATTTAAGTAAAGAATGACGAAGGGAGAGAGGGCACAAGGAAGAGGCAAGAGAAAAACATAACTGAGCCAAGCTTCGGAAGAATCATCAGTATTCTGAAAGGGAAGAACTATGAAGAAAATTGAAGAGATAATAATCAAAGGAGTTAACACAAAAAAGTGAGGCCACCAGCTACTTATCTAAATAAATCTTTGAACTGTCTAAGTTTTACTGTTTATTAACAAAAATGTGGTAAAAAAGCGATTAGTTTGACAAACAATTTGCCTATATAAATGAGATTAATCTATTTTTTTCCCAGGAAAACTACATCAATTTCTGTGGTGTCAATTCATTCTGCATTCCCTTACAGTCACTGCTTTTAAACTCTTTTCTCCTGTTAAATGGAGAAGAGCTGAAATGGAGAGAAGCTTTCTGATTATAAATCTGCCTTTTAAAAGTATCCACATAAGGTTTATTGCTTTATTCTGTATGCACAATATGATGTCATCCAAAAACCTAATAAAATCAAATTTCATTATGTCTTTCCATCACTCAAACTTTTCATGTAAAAGATGCATCTATGGTCTGAACTATGGCTCTGCAACTCTGCTCTTCGTAAGAAGATGAGATGAGAAGGAAGATGCGAGAGAGGGATGAAAATTGAGCTTTGCCTGCCACTTTGCTCCCAGTCCTGAAATTTCCTATCCACAAGTGTAGTGGAAACATGGTCCTTTAAAGACTGTTCAAATGTTAGACTGATCACTCTGCTGCGCATTTGAACAGCTGTGCTGATTTTTGGTTTTTGTTCTTGAACTAGCTCCTGCCCTGGTGAGGGCCGGTGTGACGGCAGCCTGCCCTCCATATCGTGGCAGCATGAGAAACACAGCCGCGTGCTGTTGGGCACACCACTGCTTGGACACTCAGAGCCATACCAGAGGGTCGTCCCTCGGGACTCTGTCAAAACACTGCTGGTTTAAATGCACTTTAACCATGCATGTCTGTTTTAAACGTGCAGGAATGAAAGAGGACGGCCAAGCAAATGTCAAAGGCATATGTGCCAGCACTGGGCTGGAGATGCGGAATCTGGAAAGAACCAGAGTATCAGTTAATTTAGACCTACTGCAGTTTTCTCTCTGTCTTGGTCAGTTAGTCCATTGGTCTGTCTTACTTCAAAAGCTCTTTGTCACTGCTCACTTACTGGGTTGGCAAAAACCGTCATGCAAACTGGCAATAAGTATTCTAATTTACACAAACTTCTCCAATTTAATATAGAGTTGTATGGGATGGTGGAATATTATATGTCAGGATATGACCTACAACGTGATTTATGAAGTCTGGGAAACAGATTTCTTTTTAAAAATACAACCAAAACCAACCTGATTTCAGCTGTATTAACTCAGATGTGTAACTGATACTTTTGTCTGAATTTATCTCCTTTCGAGTAACACTACTGAAAAATTGTCATAATGAAAGCTCATTTTAGCAATAACATGGAGTATTTGACAGAAATATGAAATGCGGTGAAGGAATTGAATAATTTTATTACCCAGAACTTTTATGTTAGAGTGGCTTGAAACCAGCAGCACATCAACAATGCTAACAGGATTCCAGAAAACTAATCGGATCTTGGGTATTTATAAAATCATCTGCACGATAAGGAGAATATGTATGTGAAAGAACTTATTCATCTGAAGCTCAAATACTATTCAAAAGAAGAATGGACATCTGGGATGGCAGAAAACTAGAACAATAAAACAGTTGATATAAAAATTACTGGCATATTACCAGAATTAGCAGTAACACCAATGAAGATGTTTACAGTAATGAGAGCAGATGTGTTTGTGTAACAGATCTAGTCGTATCATTTGCTGACAGCTGATTTGAAAGAGGCATAAGAGTAAATCCTCCAGAGTACAAAAGTTGCTTTGCTGCCTGTGTACGGACAGTGGTTTACAAAGTCACATAGCTGTGCACAAAGCACATAAGGAACTCCAAATCCTTGGGGTGGTCCCTGGCCATGTCGGGGTCCTACTTGTCCACACGCTCTCTGTACAGGGTCTTGTCTTGAGGACAACCTTAGGGTGGACGTCCCACAGCTCTCCCTCCACATCCAACGCAACCCCACTGCCCAGCAGAAGATTTTCCGGGGTCGTTTGCTTCCTCTGGGATGGGAGTCATGCAAGTACAAAAAAACCTCTCTGTAAGTCAGGACATTTCCTTCATGCATGATAAAAAGATGTATGGATTGAAAGGATTAAGCATGAGAGGAGAAGTCTGCCCTAAGGCAGAAAGCTAAATTTACCCTCACTAAAACTCAAAGGGCAGCCATTGTATAGTGCAATGCAAGTGTTAATCCTTCAGCCCGGCTGAAAGAGAGGAAAGGGACAGCTAATGCTTGATTGGAGTGACTAGTGCAAAACATCTTGGCTCCATATTTCTATTAAATTATTTTGGTTTAAGGTTGAAGAGTGAAGTAATACTCCTATTGCTAGCTTAACAGCTGAAAATAGCTTTTATGTTTTTTGTTTTACTGGTTGTTTTTTTTTCCAAATCACAGATCAGAGATGACTGTATTGCCAAAGTTTCCCGTTCTGTTGTATATGGAGAAAAGGAGGATGCTGAATTCAGACGACCTCCATAGTATTAGAGCTCATTCGCAGCATCACAAGGGGGCATCGCAATTCTAGTAAGTGACTACACGGCTTTGCTTCTCGTCAGGCAATGCCAGCAAGCTTGTCCTAGCCAAACTACTGAATTAAGCATACAATTTTTGGGAAAGATCAATCTGAGAGCTCAAATCCCATAAACATTGCTGAGTAAAGATTACAGAATGTTGAAAATGTCATAATATTAAATCCTGGTTCCATCAGATAATGCAATTCCCCATCCTGGATCCCATGGAGTCTTTTACCACCAGTCCTTCTACCACACAGGTGGTTGCTGCTCAGGAACCAACCATTTCACTGGCATATTTGTGTTTTCCTTTTCCAAACTCTTCTCATCAAAGACTCCTGTAGAGTATCCAGCCTTCCTGAAAACCACCCAGTCTGAAACCACATGGATATATAAAGGGCTATGTGAAAGGTAAGGCATCTTGTGCAGGGTCCTCTCTAGCTCAGGACTGGGCGCTCGCTGGCTGTTTAACTTGCAGCATGTTTCTCCTGATTGCTTTGGCTGAGTATTGAGAGAGTAAGCACCTTTCTTCTGTTGAACGAAAGATGTTACAGGAGTTGCTTTTGTTGTTATTGTTCAGAAATAGTTAATCTCAAGGTTGTAGCTATGACCGTGGTACCAAAAAAAAAGTATGCTTTTGTTTTCTCAAGTCAAAGATACTTTCAGACTGAGTCTTTGATGTGTATTTGAATAACAGTCCTCTAAAATACTAAACTTTAATTACAGAAGAAGGAAGATCAAATAACCTGTCCTTACATGAATTGGAAATCACCAACGCCAGTAAATTAATTGATTTACTCAAGCAAGTATCAAATGCTTTTTGTATCGTCTCTTGCTCTAAAAAAACAAATCCCTACCAGAAAAATACCGCCCCAACACTGTTGTAGAATTATTTCGCTTTCTGCATATGCACCTACACAAAAGCATGTGCAGCCTTATGAGCAATATCTTCAGAATTCAATAGTTGTCTTGCGGAACCTTCGTAACAAAAACATAGGTTTTATAAATACAATGAATATGGAAGAGAATTTCTTTCTTGTTACTCTGCTTACCAAATTTTTATCTGACATAACACTACCCTTCTGGCAGGCTGATTGGCACCTACCATATTTTATGATGACCTGTCAATGTGATTTTGCCACTTTTTCCTGCCTTTTGTCTGCTCTAGCACACTCTTATGCTATGCACCTGCTGAGCACCTTCCTTCAATAGTGTGTGCTCTTCAGAATTTACTGACAACTTCCTTAATTTTCAACTTACGTATCCTTTCCAAAAAAATCTCTTGATAATCACATTTTCAAACTCATTTTTAAGCCAATTCCTCCAGATATTTACTCATGTGAATAAACCATATGCTGATTAAATAATTCCAGTAATTACTAACACAAGGATTATGTGCAGAGAAGAAATCTGGACTGTAACATCCTTGGCGAAGGTACCAAGCAAGGTGCGTACAGGTAAACTTACCTATCAAATAGTTCTCCACCTGTGACCAATTCCAGAACAAGACTGATTTCTGTAGGGGTCTCAAATATCTCCTTCAGTTTTATCTGGTAAAATATAACAAAAAGGATTCATTGCACTTATTTGTCTTCTTGCTGAGCATATCACAGGGCCAACAGCAGGAAACCAACCACAGTCAATAAAGCAGAGGATGGTACCAACTGAAGTTGGTGCATCATTTACCTTGCAGTTGAACAAGTTATTGTGCATGTTCTCTCCCACCTCCCTTTTTTTTGCTAGTTTTATCTCCTTTACATTCCTTTTTTTTTGCTATTTTCACACTCCTCATACCTCAGCAACCTCCATGTAACACAGGAGTTTAAGAAGCTGCTTCCGTTAGTGCTTGTCAACACCTGCCTGCCAGTCTGTCAGAGTAACTGAATGTAAGACCTTCCCAACCCTCCAAGGACTGACAACACCAACTTCCCCTTTCATTTACAGAACTTCTTTTGCATAGTTTCTCACTCAACTCTGACAAAACATCAATAATTTTTTTTAAGGTGTAAGTATAATTCAGCAGTCTTCCATAACGAGCTGCTAATGCACTCATGAGGAGAACCCAAAGCTTTAATCCAGGACTCTCCCAAGTCTGTATAGGTGAATCACAACAGTAATATCTCAGGAACAGAAAGAATTTTAAAAATACAAAGAAACAAACGTGGAGTGAAAGAGTAAAGCTAAACTTACAATGTTTGGATGAGAAAGGCGAAGAAGAACTCCAATTTCTGTGCGGACAATTTTCTTGTCTACCTGGTTAAAAGTGGGGAGGGAAAAAGTGAAAAATTTATTTCTATGTTCACCATAGAAACTTCTAGCTGCATCACAGGAAAGTATGTATGAACAGCATTTCTAGATCTTCTAGGAGAATAAGTTGATGTGAGACACACAAGTCAAATATGCTGTAAGGAGTAATCTTCCTTTAACACGAGACAGATAATATAACTGAAAAACATCTGCATCTAGCAAAATGATTACAAATGTACATGTAAGTCACACAAGAAGTAGAATGTAGGAAAGGCATCTGAAAAAGGTGCTAAAAATTCCTTTTTTTAATCAAGTTCTGCCCTTGTCTGTCGCTACTTACGTTGGTTCAGTTTATGCCAGGATAGCTTCCTTTTGACACACTGTTCATCAGCTGTACTGGAAAAAGATTTCTGCACGTACAACGTGCACATCAAAGCAGTGTAACATACTGCTTAGAACAAAAAACTGACGCAAAGGTCAAACCCCCCCAGCCACAGACAGGGTGTAAGGTTCAACTTCAACTCGCTTCAGATATATCTAACAGAACGGTATATTGATGCAAAAGACTATCTGTTTGGTTAAACCTCTGAGAGGCTTAGCCCTTCCCTTTCCCTCCCTTCTCAAATTGCAGTCTTTAACAATCCAGGCACAACCTATGTCCTGTTGGGTGACATCGGTCATTTTGCACAAGAAATGCAGACCTAGCGAGTATTTTACTCAGGAAAGACAACTGCAGCTCTCCTGGAACTTGAATGCTTAAGCAAGCAAGAAAGGAAAATGCTCGTAAGCAAATTATGCATTCTTTTATGTTGCTAAGGTAATTAATACATTTATGAAGAAACTATCTGGTTTGCAAATATTCTCACAAACCCTAGAGAAATCCTACAATGATGGCAATTATAAACATCTTTCTCCTACAGCACTCTTCATCTCAGGGGTTACAAAATGAATGAGAGTCAGCAGGTTAAGTCACTACCTGTTTCCAAATTGATGACACAGCTGATGTCAAGCAGGACATTTTGAGGGAGAGTTGTGTGGGTTTTTTTTAGTGGAGGCTTTTCATCAATACATGTTTTGGTTTTGGGTTTGTTTTTTTTTACATCATATGGGAAATGAACAGTCGTAATACATAAACCTTTAAAAGGGACATAAAACTACCTTCAAATTCTTAGTGAGGAAGACACATGCTTAAACAATCCCCCTTTTTTTTATCATCTGAAGGAAGAGATGTACTTCTCAGTATTTTATTTTTTCCAGCAACAACAAAATCCAAGTATCAGTCACATTCAGAACTACAAGATAGGCAGAATTTGATTCTCCCCTTGTGTCAATCAGGAATGATTCCAGGTTAGTAATGCCACAGTGCTCTGACAGTGCAGAACTAGAGCCCTTAGGGATTTCTTGAAACTCATTGACATTTAACCTCTTTTAGTGGCTCTGCCAGAAAGCAAAATGAAAGAAAGAAAAAACAACTTTGAACAGATTCAGTGCACGTGAGAACCAGCAAAAAGCAAAAATCAGAGAGGAATGAAATATTCCATTACCTGAACACCGAACTGGAGGTAAAGAACATGGTCAATAACTAAATCTTCACAGATAAACGCCTGCTCTGGGATCAAACACAGGACCCTTTAAGCTCTGCAACCATCACAGGCTTTATAAACTTTATTGCTTTCTACTCTGAATGCAAGTGTTTCTTTGCTCTTGCCTGCTACATAACTACTGAGCAGCAGGTTTGAAGAATGGTGTCCTGCAGTCTTCCTAAAATGCTGTGAGCACCAGCCTGTGTTCTTACTTGGTTTCAACATACCCTTGGCATCAGTGCCATTATTCAACTCTGGGTTACTTTTGTGAGTGCAAACGTACAGCCAGGGGCTCCAAAGCTCACTGCTGGGAAGCAAGTGGCTCTTGATGATTCAGAGAGTAATACATGTCTGGACTGTTTTCATATGCTTTGCACCTCAGACAGGATCAGAAAAATTGATGTACAATATTGCATGGACAGTCATTTCCCCAGGAGAACTGTTTAGACTGAGCAATTTACCTTATCCAAAGGCACCACTACAAACTGAACAACCTACAGTTTGTTTTCTGCAGTTTTGAAAATGGTTGCACATCAAACATGCCTGGCAACAAGCATGGAAGAGGCTGCCCAAACTCTAAAGATGCTTCCTTTTGGCACTGAGTAGTTACAACTGAGAAACTATAGAGGCCTTCTCTCATCTTGCAGGTGGCAACAAATTAAGTGAAAAAGTGAACTGAGACTTGGTTTCAGGTCTTTGCTTTCCTAGACATTTACTCTGCAACCGTAAGCAAGTCCCTGTGTGATCCAGTTCCTGACCTGGCAACGAACAGCAGACTTTCATAATACTTCCTCAGGTGGTGGTATGAGGAAAAGGTACCTAAAAATTCAAGATGCTAAGATGCAATGGCAAATACGCCACAGAGAAACACTTAGGAGTGTTACATATTTATAAGCATCCTGGAAAATGGCTATCGGGATAGATTTTACAACAGAAGTGTGCATATAAGTGATATGAACCATCCTAGAGTAAAAGCAGCAGCATATGTAGTCATGGCTTTTTATTACAGACAGCCTGTTCTATCACTTTTATTTTCTTACCTTCTCCTACATAAGTATAGAGCTGTATCAATACTTATCTTGTTTCAGCTCCTTCCAACAAAATGTACTTAACTTATATCAGGGCCAACCTTGGCCTATTTTTAGTTCGGGCAGGAGTAACAGCAATTCAACTACTTATATTCCTGACAGAAATTTTTTGATAGGATGACAGTCAGGCATTTCACTCTATCGTGTATGTTGCTAGAGTAACAAATTTTAAAACTTGGATAATTTAACCAAAATATCCTATTACCACAAATGTTTGGGCAAATTAAGTGTGCTTGGCTAGATCAAATACAGTGGTCTGATTTGTGTAGATGCAATAACTGACCAAAATGAGGCTGCAAAACTGTTTATTTTTGTATCCTCCTCTTTAGATGCAATTTAAATATGCAGTACAATATGTAACAGTTTATCTGAGCTTTCCTTAAATTACTCACAGGCGCGTCAGTGAGACCTTTGTGAGTATATCAGTCAAGAATAATAAGGTCAGCAGAACCGGTCTGTTTGTGAAGAGAAAAAACAATCAAATGTTAACTTTCAGCTGTTTCCTGGTTCCACTAGTTTAGCGTTTCTCCTTCTACAAGCTTCCTTTATCCTTTGCTTTTAATCTATGCTATACGGACTAGAGAATGTAGTTCATTTTAGAATATTTTATACTAAACTCATTAGTGTAATTTGATTTCTACTTAAAAGATTACTTTCCTCTGTGTGAAAAACTTACACTAATTCTGTACCAGGTCATGCGAATGACTGGTTGAGTGATTTTAACACTGGTGCGATTTTACTGAGCTGTATTTTCTGTTTGCAAACTTCAAATTGCAAGCAATCAAGAGGCATTTGCTGTGATAGGCTTATGAAGCAGCATTCTGCTGCGGTACATCCATGTCAATTTGAGAAGTCATTTGCCAGGTAATCCTGAAATGGTTATTTATACGTTCTTCACCACTGACCCTAGGCATGAAGATTTCACCGCCCATAAACCAAAAAAATCAAAAAAAGTTGCTAGATGGCCTGTAATTATTAAAACCCACATCTATATGCTTCCACAGCTCACCTGTGGAGACATCCACATGAAGCGCTAAAATGCAGCAAATCTGCAAGAACTGCTTGTAGCTGCGATACAGTCCTGCCTTGTGCTGTGGCTTGCAGTGCTCCACAGTACGCTTCATGCTTCAGTAAGCAAACCAGGAGCTGTGACTGCAGCACAAGCAAGCATCTGCATGCTGGCTTTAATCTAACTAAAGTACCTGCAGCAGCAAAGATCCAGTGACCCGAACTTGGGAGCAAGAGGCAGTTCAAGATGCACTGAACTGAAACGTCCATCTGTACTGCAGCCGGACGCATGGCTTTGCAGTGTTACCCGAGATCACTAGACAAATGGTAGCATGCTGTGTGCATTCAAAACTGCAATCATACGTCCTGTTCACAGACTGACAGACAGACATAGGATTAACAGCATTAACAGAGTATTTCACACAATCGAGGCCCAGGAAGTTAGGACAGCATTTGCAAGTGTCGGTGAATGAAATTATCCACCCCTTTAATTTATATTAAAGCATTTACATAAAAGGTAATTATTCCTGGATGATTCCTAGTATTTTGTCTCTCCAGTTATTTCACTTCTCTAGAATTAGGCATTTATCTATTTTATAGATATGTGTCTACAAACACTGTGTCTTTGACATTTGATACTGGTCATGCAGTGAAGTAGCACTAGGTCTATAATCAGTCTACTTCTGATTTATAAATTTCAGACTATTTTGACAATGGAAAGGGCTGGAAAAATGCTTAATGAAAGCTGAGATTTTTCCATGTTTCTGTGCCCTGAGATGGTGAGGTGGAGTGACGCTACAAACCCTGAGATGTAAAACTGTTGCTTCTATCTGAACTAAATGGAAGAAGAGAAAATGAACTGTCACTGTAAACAGATTAATCCAGCTGCTGCCTTGCAATATGGTATGCCATCCTGAAAACAGGTGGCCAACAGATGTACAGACCCCTCAAACTTCATAGAGAGCAAGAAGCAGAGCACATTCTTCATCCTGCAAGTCCAGCCTTTGCTGCCTTCCTTCACCAGGGCGCTGTGGACATGGAGGGGCACATCTGGCCAGATGTGACCACCACGCCGGTTGAGTGACAATGCTGGGCCCAGGCAAGTGGTATGAAGCAGCCAATGCAAATGGCTCTCAAGGAGATTTACAGCACTGCCCACCTCAGAGAGGCTGTTCACCCCAGCTCTGCACAGCTCGTATTTAATATCCCACTTACTGACTCACATGAACACCTCTAATTTGAGCAATGAATGCTTTATTGAACCAGCAGGTCAGGCTCTGAGGATGTATTTCTCTGCACTTACAGGGAGCATGCTGCAAATCATTAT